GCCGTGTGTCAGGTGCCCATCGGTCTCGACATTGTCGACATTCCGCCCCGCAAGCAGTGGATGGTGTATGAGACGATTGATCGGTCGTCTACGATGAGTATATACGAGCTGCGAGTATGACTATTTGATAGTTGATGAAGATTTGTCAGTGAATGCTGTGACTGCAGTAAATGTAGTGCCGTAGATGGGTGGATGGGTGGGTGGCAGGTTGCTCACTATGTTCGACTTTTTTGTGGCTGCGTGAACAGTATGGTGGGGTATAGTAGTTCGTTAATTCCGTCGTATAACAGCCTTAAAGTACAAACACAACAATCGCCGAGTTGAGTTGGCGACACGGGCTGGTACGTTTGGGTAATTCCTACGTTGTTCGCCCCTTCGGGGTTCAGTTGTGCCTCTCGCTTAACTGATTCCTTACAACCAATTCCCCCAGAGGCCTGCCTAAGCTCAACAACCTCTAAACCTCTCTCTTCCTGTAGCTTCACACCAAATGATGGAAGCCAACTCTCAAACGTTTTGACAGGTCACCGGGTGCATTGTTCGCCCGACTAGAAGATTTTCGGTACCCTCGGCTGAGGCCCACCTGCATGTCGTTCGACAAGTCTATCAGCAGTACCATCTATTGGGTCACTGGCTTGTCACTTGACAAGTCTAACAACTTTCCCTTTACTAAGTTTACCGGCCCGACGTCGACGAGGCTCCTTCTTTCCCTAGTAGCGAACGCTGCCTAACCGGGGCCTTTCTAAACTCTTGGATCTACGAGTCGGTACCTCTACAAGCTATGCCTCTCGAGTTTCGACGTCAGGCATTATCTAGCCCACGCAGGTACTTACCTTAAGTGTACGCATGTCTTGGACTCAGAAAATTATGCACTGTATTTTTTTATCTCTTTCCTTTTCCTGATTAAGAAGGCATTTTTGAGTGGCTCCCCCTCGTCCTTCTCATCAACTTATACTAATGCCTAGTGTTTTGAATCACTCCTCATCTCATTCTCGAATCTTCTCGCATCGTGTCGGCACTCGTCGATTCTACACTCGTCGAGCCATGATTGGCCGACGTCTACGCGCTTCGGTTTCTCTCGTCGGGTTTACTTCTTCTATAATCAAGTCAAGAGTATGAAATACCTCGTTTGACGATTATCTACGTCACAATGGGCTTCAACATGTTCGTCGAGTGCGTTCCAACAACCCACGTCAAGTACTTGCATACTTCCGGGCTGAAGAAGATTATATCGGAGTACGCGAAGGTCGGCTATTCTCGTCCAATCATGTGTAGAGAGTTTGTTTACCACAAGGGCGTGAAAATAGTGACTGCGACGGGAACCAGCGCATGCTCTACAATGTAAGGATCGAGAGAGGGAGAGTGTAAAATGCTGTGAAGATAACAAAAGTGACAACAACCCGGTTTCGTGCGAGTAGGCCAAGTGAAAAAACAAGGAGAAGGGGTGACCTACGAGATCGTGGGTGGAACGTGTTTGGGTAGACTGCAGAAGTCGCCAAATTCGTTGAAACCAAGAATGAGCTTTAAAGTGGTGAATATGCATGTGGTCGGTCGGAAGATCAACTCGAATCAAATATAATTGATGCGTGTTTGTAGGTCTGACCACGACTGGCGTATCAAGCAAGAACGGTGTCGGATACTTCCAGTCGCACTACATCGACAAAAAATTACCATGTGCGAGTTCGATCCGTACATGATGTATGATAACCGGAAGAAAGTGTACACGACGACGGAGAGTTTGACCTTCTAGCACTACAATTACACACCGCCACGTTATACGATTTTGCATGTCCAAGAACATCTTGAGCGAGCTGACCTCGACGCTTCAGGGTGAAATGTATTATTGTACTATCCTGTATATACTCTGTATCATAAGAGTCAGGACAAGCTAACGCGTCTCGTCGATTTTTTTCATATGTACTTGCTGTATTTGTCATTCTTTAGTGCGGTATCACTCAGCCGGTATACAATGGCGTGAAGACCAACATCGATGGGTACTGCGGAGTGATAATTATTCCAATCATGTTTGTAGTATGCGCAGGTGCTGGATCTACAATGCACTCGGCGGCTTGAAGTTGTTTGTATCATTTAATCTGTTTGATAAGATGACCAGCTCTGTGCAGCTTGCGCATGGACTTGAGGACGTTTTTTGCTCCGCGGGTTTTGATTTTGTGCTCGCCAAGAAACGAAAGTAAGTGCATTTCGGCGACATCGCCAAACTCCAACACATCGTCTCGATACTGCGAAGATGTCTCATCAAGCACGAAGTCATTAGCAAGAAACAGCTTCATGAATGCAGCGACAAGTTTGGCGGTGAAATTTGTGTGCTTGCTCGGGCTATCAAGCGGATCCTAAAGGCGGGATTTCTGGGTATACCAGGAGAACCAGACGTCCTTCAGGAGTGTTTACAAACTCGTTCGGCGACGTTTGGCTGGTGGTTCTTTGCTTTTATCCTCACTTCTTTCTTGTGTAGTTTTTGGGTGTGCTTTGTTGTAGACCTCAGCTTCAATCATCGAGACGCGAGATTCGAGCTTTTGGCTGATCTTGATTAACTGTTCAATCAATGAAGCTTGGCGAAGATACATTGGATGCTTTGTGATGTCGATCGTGCTTTCTATAGCCTTGATGGAATTTGGTTGCATATTTGTCTTTGTGTAGCAGGTTAGATGTGAAGACCAAGCTAGAAGACTGATGACGGAGTAACCTTGCTAGATTACACACGCTTCCGAACGTGTTTGACTACAAGTCCGTCTTTTTTTAGCTGCTTCAACGCAGCAGGTAAGTGATAAGGGTTTTCATCACTCTTTCGTTCACGTTGTATTGTGTAGTCATAAGCCCTTAAGATGCATTAGGGAGCGCTGTCGCAACAGTTTGGATTTTTGTCTGTGTACCGGAGTCAAAGACATCAAGTGACAGGAGAGATACGTCGATATCGAGGTGTCGCCCACTCAAGACCTGGGCAACCCTATGGTCTTCGGAAGCTGTATTATAGACGTACGCGAAGGCCTTATTCGTCGCTGTCATATCCCAGGCGCCTCGGTCGAAGATCCACTGTACACACATTCCAGCCCCATTTGCATGCTGCGCCCCTCCACGCCGAATAGAGTGAGATGTCAAGCGCTCGGATACGCCAGCTTTTGCATCGTCCCGATCAAGAACATGGTCAACGTAGCTGTGCACACCAGGAGCGGTATCTGGGCTGTTCTCCTTCTTAATAGCGGTGGAGAATATATCCGGTGAAGAGACTACAACCTCTGGGTGATCGAGCAAATCGATGAGCGGAGTTGCTGGAGCTAACATGGACTGTGAAATAGCCATCTGCTCAGGAAGTTGACTCAGCACGAATATAGTTGGGGATGAGTGGGTCACGAGGGCGAGAGTTATGGCAAGCAGAGGACATGTGGTGAAGTCTTCGTCAGAAAAAAGTGATAGACCTTGCTTTTCAGAAGTTTTGATTCGGATGAATCGGACGAAGAATGTGTCACCCGAGTCGATAGAAAGGTTAGCCTTCCGCAGCATTATGGGGTCCGATGCACGAACAAAGAGGGGCCAAAGCAGACACAACAGCGCCGCATCTTGGTAGTCGGCACCAGTAACCGCAGTTGAATACAAGTATTCCATCATTTCTTGAGTGCAGACTTTGTGCATGCTGGGGCCTTGTTCACAAACGACCCTGACTCACGCTTCAGGCAATGGCGTCCGAGCGTCTGTCCCTTCTTGAGCAAATTGTTTTTAACCATTGCTCGATGCTGTGGGAACTGCTCCAGCAGCCAATTCTTGGCTAGTCGAAAGTTCTGCATGACCGAGTGCCGAGCTAAGAGCTGTACCTTTCGGCTCTCCTTGAACGCAAGATACATGCCAAACTTGTCCATCACAGCTTCTAAGGCGAGAGGTTCCCTCTAGCGCTGCATGCACTGTTGTAGGTACTCCCAAGTAACCTCTTTCTGCTCGAGGAACTCTAAAAATGAGCGCGCTGCGTTCTCACGGGCACGCTTCGTGTTGGCAGGTGCTAGGTCGGTCAGACTTATTCTCGGTGGAGATGTTAAAGCCTGGATGTTGTTTGTAAAATATGCGATTGAGTTACCCTTTGTCGGAGATGTCGGAGCTTGTGTATTAATTATAAAACATGCAAATAACTTGGTGTTTGTATAGTGATAACCATAACAGCACTGTTCTCTCCGACTTGATACGTCGGAGAGGTAGCTGCGAGAGCTTTTCTTGTCCATCTACTCTCTGAGTAGTTTTTAGTATTGCCTTTGTGCAATTTGACTCCTTAAAAAAGAGTTTTATATCACTAGGCTGACACTATTGGTCAATACATTCAATATGTTATTCAAGTGCGGTCGGAGATTTAATGTTATTTATCCATATCTGCGTAACATGCTTAAAGCCGTGTCTAACACAAGTCCATGCAAAACGGAGTGCTCGCCATGCTCGAGTCATGAATGAGCGCATCGTCCCTATATCTGTACACAATAAGCTGAGCAATGTCTACCGCGGGTTCATGCAAAACAGAGTGCTCGCCGTGTTCGAGCGAGACATGCGGACTAGACGTATCCCCAACGATGGCAGGACCTCAGTGTGAAGGGGCTACAGAGACTGGATGCAGTGCCCTGATTTGACGACCGCGTCTTTACCATCGTACTGGGAGAATTGCAGCTCCACGTAGTCTGAAAGCCGCTTCATATGCTCTGTCTGGACACAAAACGCACACCCGAGCATGCCAAAGCGGGTGCTTATCATTTTTGAAGCATTGCCAAGCGGTACGTCAATCGTTTGTTTAGCTGGCGAGCTGCAGCGCGGGTCATCAACTGACTACGTGGTTGTTGCTGCCCCATTGTAGATTGATGGCCTGAACATCTTTGACGACGACGTCATATATGCTATGCTGGACTTGAGCAAACGAAAAGCCGTGCACTTGCTCTATTGCTGGTGCACCTGCAGTTGTTTAGGTGAAGCTCAACATAAGTGGTATTGCCTGGTAGACCAACTCTTTGATAACTTCACTTTTTCCACTTATTGATGATCGATTGACTTGCCTCGGCTTGTTGACTCCAACGGCCAAATTGATAGCGCGTCTGTGAAGGCGCACTGGACTGTTCTTCTGCAAATTGACTTTGCTGATCTTGGCGATAATCGTCCATGATATCAAAGCTGTCATCATTTTCGACTTGGTGCTGAGACGATGAGGCCGGATTAAGTGATTGTCGTCGTTGACTCCATGGAATGTACCGAGACTTGGGACTATCACACCTCTGCTTGCGTAGAGCATTTGTTTCTCCGCTTGACCGATGGTCATCTCGCAGTGGCCTCTTTAATTTCGGTCCCAGCCGCTGTCCCCCACGAGCAAAACTGTCAGCATCATCCCCCCCTTGCCGTCAAATGGTTCATATTCGGTGGCGGACGAAGGGTAATCAGAGACGAATACGGGCGTTTGCTGCCTCGAAGACTGCTTCACGATGGCTCGTGGTTGGAATGTTGTTGATTGGGAACTGTCGCAGTGTGTCGTGCCGAATTCACGAAGTCCAAGGTAGTCAAGCACAAGTTTTTCTTGCAGCAAATACTCTCCCAACGGATCGTCCGAGAAGTCAGAATGCAAGACCGACTCTGTGCCTCCCTCCATCATATCAGAGCAATTGTCTGTAGACTTGCTCACTTCCATAACAAAGACAGCAACCACCGCGTCCATCACTGACACCTCTGCGTGGCACATCAGTCGTGCATGAGCCTGTGCCAGCCTCGTAAGGCTTTCCAGAAGTCGGATTGTTGTTCGAGCGGCGCTGCGACTGTCAGATGCCCGCTGCTGTTGGTAATAACGCTGCAGTATCGTCATGGCGGAACGACTCAGTCGAGGCTGGTACTTATCCTTGACGTGGCATATATACGCCTGCAGTGTCTGAATACTCCACAACGACGAACTATCTGTCGATGACGATGATCGTGATGCTTCTTGCTCCACTGTCAATCTAGTCGCTGGCTGTAACGAAGGCTGGTAGCCTCCGGTGCCTTTGGCTTCGGCTTCTTCGGTCAAAGCAGTGCTCTTACCAACAGCCTGTTTGAGGATGAAAGAAGATACAACTTGGTCCCAGCGCGAATTCATTCGATCCAGCAGCACAAGAATAAGATCAAAGCGGCTAAGCAATGGACTGGCGAGACCGGTGTTCACAGACACGTCTCGTGTTGGGTCGTATCGGCCTCTAGGGTTCGTCACAGCAAATATTGTAGTTCGCGCGTTGAGCTTGCACACTAGACCAGCCTTCGCCACGCTCAGTGTCTGCTGCTCCATGGCTTCATGAATGGACGTGCGGTCGTTACTACGAATACTGCTGAACTCGTCGATGCAGCACACGCCACGATCTGCCAGCACCAAAGCACCAGCCTCCAGCATCCACTCACCGCCATCTTTCACAGCTGTACAGGTCAGACCAGCGCTTGTCGTGCCGATGCCTGTCGTGAGAACCGAGCGGGGACTTAGTTCGGCAGTGAAACGGAGGAACTGCGATTTCCCTGTGCCAGGGTCGCCGACCAACAGCATATGTGATTCGCCTCGCGTCTTCATACCAGACTCATCAACGTACGAGACGCCACCAATAACTGTGAGCGCCACGGCCAGTTTTACGACAAACAAGCCGTAGACCTTGGGACAAATGCTAGCAATGATGTCGTTGCGTCCGCGCACTGGATCCAATTTGTGTTTTGCCCAAAACTGCTCGAACTCTGCTCGCAACTCTTCTGTTACAAGAACTTGAGATGTCGATGCGTTTTTCACACGAATGCTATTTGCCTTTATCATCGTCTCCAGGTCGCAACGGACTCCTCTCACGCAAGGTTTCCACGTACGCATTAGAATGCCCACAACAACTACCTGATCGCCAGCCTTGACAGAATCTACCAGATCATCTTCCAATACAACCAACATTGACCTCGGGATGGAGCCAACCCCCAGCTTCGACGCCTGTTCCTGAATTTTGATCACCTGGTGATCGGACACTACACTGCCCTCAGCGCCGCCGAGAGGCACGAACTGCGTCGACTTGCACGGTTTCTTACCGCCACTGCTCTTGCCTCCAGCGCTGTCAGAAGGACATACTTTCTGCAAGCAGCCACAAGCTCAGAGCACTTAGTCTACCTTCGTCTCTTACAGTGCCCAGTATGCCAACAGCAGAAAAAGCCGCAACAGCATGAGCATGGGCAGTGTAGAAAGAGCCTCTTTTTGTTCTCTTACCGGGATCTCCAACACATTGCCCTGCTCCGGGTCTGACTTGACCAAGAACCGGTGTCCGCACCGCACGTTGCAGCACTGATACTCTCTCTCCACCTCCTGCATCTTCATCTACACAATGGACAAATAGATAGGCAGACAGAACCACATACCGACAGACCGTTTGCCGTCAGAACGTAACGCATATTAGCACTGCACTCACAACAAAACTGCTTCATGTGTCGTACCACTCCCGTGCGCACCACTGTGCCTGCAATCTGGACCAGCTGCTTCACGTCGTTCGACCGAATGGCACTGATGGACAGTTTCTGAAGTGCTGCCACAGGGGGCAAGTGCTCGACCCGCACTTTGATTCGACGTCTGACCTTGAAAGGGATAATCGGGACCTCTTGATGCTCTAGCGGCTCGCCAGCATTGCAGCCAACCTCCTTGGCCAGCGCCACATGAAATAGCGGCAGCAACTGCTCTGGATGGCGGAACAGCAGCGTCCCCAGCTGTGCGTTAAAGTCGAGCAGCCGTTGCGCACACACGCGCTGACTGTAGGCCAAAGGACTCGACTCGGCCGCTGCTTTGTCGACGGCGCAGGGCGTCGAGACGTGGCGCAGACGCCGGTGCAACAGCTGAATGTCCGCGTGGTAGTGGCAGCGCAGGAAACGAGCAAACGCCGCTTGGTACTCGGGCGCGAGGCGCTCGAAGCGGGCACCCGTGGCCTCGTCGTCGCCATCGTGGGAGTGGAGGCTGGAGGTGATGGCGCTGGTTTTGGGCGGCATGAGGTCGGATAGGGATAAGTGTGCGCTATAATAGAGTTGTGAATGGACTGGATTTTGGTAGATGATCAATAGAGCTGCTCACCGATGACAGACAGTCCTACACGATGGCTTACGGCAGCTCTTTATGTTTTCGGAAGAGGTATGATATGGATAATCTTTCAACTTGAAGCTACTGGCCGAGGCGGTAATTGTCGTCATTCGTCTCAGTAAAAAAGGAGGAGTGTCCGTTGTAACAAAGCCGCTTGAAGCACGGAAGTGTACGATGTAAGATTCGTGGTCGGTATGACATGAAGCGAAGGCGGATAGAGTTCCGCCGACGCTTGCAGCGCTGCTTGGAGTCACAGGCGATACCTGTCGGTGCACTCGAAGAGCCATTAAAACCAAGCGGCAGACTTGCGGTCGTCTTTCAGCTGCATCATTTCCGTCAGCAGCTCGATTTTCGTCCGATAGTCGTCGGTGTCGTGCTCATCTGTTGTTGGATAAAGATTCACAATCGTGTCTTCGTCCGCGTCAGCTGCTGTTCGCTGATCGTCATCGATTGCTGCAACTGACGCTCGCGACACTAAGGATGACAACATCTCTTATCGCGGCTGATGCGCAAAGGTGGGGGAGGCGTCAACATGATTGGAGTAGACTGCGCGTGTGCAGATGGCGAAGCAGGCGGTCCACGGGAATCGACATACTCGGTAGCGTCGGTCAACAAGACATCTGAATTGATCCAGGTTTCAAACGACAGCGGTGGCCGCTTCCCTAGCCGTCTCGCCGTCGCGCACAGCTGTCACACCTTTGCAAGTAGCGGTTGCTGCAATTGTCTTTTTTTCTAATGTGTGATACTAATGACCGTCTCGGAACTTAGGTGGCGTCGGCGTTTTAGGTGCCGCATCAGTTGGTGTACTGGATGCCGCAGCTCCCTTTGCGCTTGCGACTATGACCATCCGTCGTCATAATGACAGCCATTTGACGGTTCGAAAGCTGAGCTGCTCCTTGAGCGTCTCTGAAGTCTCAGACAATAGCCCTCTCCTTCCTTCCCTTCCACCACTCTGCTCGGTGTCTCGTTTCCTCCTTCTTCTTCTGCTCGTGGCGGTACGCTCTCCATAAAGCCCACCTCACTCCTCATGTTCATCTTTGCTGACGGTGTCAAGATTGGAGGAACGATGACGACGGCACGGACCAAAGAGGATAGCGTGTGGTAACGACCGCCGAGACGATCTTGTAGCTATGTGGATGCACTTTAAACAACTACGCAGCCATGTAACTGCAAGTCAGTCAAGTACGACCATGTGCATCGTCAGTCGTGCACAATGCAGTACCGTCTCTGTAGTTGACTACGTGGTGACATGGCCATAATACAGAGGACAACTTGCAACAAAGTCAGCAAAGGTCCATGTACTGCTTGGTCAAACGTAACAGCGGAGACTTGCACCAGCACTCGCGCATCCATCGACATGAACCTATGTGCACAATGACAGCGCCACCGTCTTCGGTTTCGTACTCCTGCTCGCGCGGAGCTTTCGGCAGCGTGCAGGAAGCACTGCACTGCGTTAACGACCGTGTGAAGCCATTGCCAGTGCCGGTTCTAGTGATGCTAGAAATGCTAAGTTAGGTGCTCACAAAAATAAGCGATGGACCGCAATATCTGCAGCTACAGCTTAGACGCCACGCACTGTACATTATTTGTAGCAGCACACTTTTGATCAGCAAGTTCATCTCGTTGTCTCTTTCGGCATGAACACGAGACGCAAAGTTGCGATGCAGTCAAATGTCATTTTAAATCATGGCGTTTCTGCCGATCGAGAGCAACGAGTCACTACCTCATTGCAAGCTGTACATTATGGTGCAAAGCAAGGAAGTCAAAGAGCTTCTGCGCTTTTGCCACGATCGTCAGCAAAATCCGGTATGAGTGTCGACTCGATACATGGCGTAAACGAGGTCACTTCGCATATATCTACCGCTCCATTGCACTGACAAATGACAAGAATCACTTTCGTCCCGTTGCTCGCAGAGAATTGAGATACGCTGTCGCACGTCAGGTAATGACGCGCCCACGGTTTCGGAAGGTATAGACACGAATGGAGGTCAGGTCCCGACGGATCCTTGTTTTCCGGAAAAGCCTTCACGGCGGGGAAGTGGATTGAGGATGTTCGCTTTGCTGTGCAGATTAAACAATAGTAACGAAGGTAATGGAGCAGCCAGCGTCAAACCTACGATCTCTTTGAACGGCAGCATTGAGTCGGACAATCGTCTGTCGGCCAGAGCACAGTGAGAGAATCACGTCGGCCCTATCTCCTCTTTGTCTACGATCAGCTCGCGTGCCGATTGCGTCTGACTGGATCGACGAACGGGTCGCTCAGCCCACGCCGACTCTCTTCCTCTCGGCCAATGGGCGCGTCCTTTTGCGTGCTAATCCCATTCGGTTTCACGACTCGGAGGAGCTCTTTTTATCCGACCGACACCGACGTTCTCGTACCGGAGAAATAGCGGTCCAAAGCGATTGTGCCCGCGCCTCGAGTGCCGACATTTGCTGACATTCACGTCGCTGCGCGTCCTCTATGAACACCAATGGAAGATCATTGCCCCCAATGGTTATGTTGCTGGACAGAGAGCAGCAGCTGAAGTTGCGTGAAGACTACGAGGACCAATCGAACGAAAGCAATGTCGACCAGCAGCGACCGCGGCCCGAGTCTATGGCATCGTTGCCCACGATGCTGCCGGCTCCTCAGCATGCTTCGTTCCAAGCGCCCGCGCCACCGACGTCCACTTACCTTCGCACTGACTTTACGACTGGACGTCGCCCTTCCTCTATGACGACTGCGAGCTTTCGGAAGACAGGCGAACAGGGTGATGGCGACGGCCTTCATACCAGCTTTAGCACCAATGTTCAGAACCCGAATCCAGTAGCGGCATTTATGAAATCAAACGATGAGCGGGAGGATATGAGGAGCGCCAACTCCTTGTCCGCACCCACTGACTACGATAATGTGGAGCATACAGCAATGCCTTTCATCTCCAGTGCTGACTGTCCGGTGGAACAGCGTCCGGATCCAACAAAAGGGTTTCGAGGAAACAGAAGTAATTTGAAGCTATCGGTCAGGTACATGATCATCGGGGCAATCGTTGGCATTGCATTGGGCATTGTGTTTGCCCATGTCGGTATTTCACCCATTGCGGTGCAGTGGATTTCGCTGCCTGGTGACTTGTTCCTCCGGGCTGTCAACGCCCTCGTGGTGCCTTATGTCTTTTGCTCAGTGGCAGTAGCTGTTGGAGATATCGTTTTTGTCGGCAAAGTCTCGATCGTCGGACTGCAGACGCTGAAGATTTTTGCGATGGGGTGGCTGACCTCCACGATCTTGGGGATCAGTGTGGCTTTCGTCTTTCGTCCGTTTTTTCGTCTCAAGAACAAGTTTGCGATCCCTAGCGCTAATGCAGTGGGGTTGACTTGTTCGAATGGACAAATGGTTCAGATGCTGAGCAACAACAGCACTGCCTGCTCTTCTGATGCGACAGAGCTGTTGCTGAACAATGCCTTTGTTCTTATCGATACAAACAAAGTGTTTGTGACGAATAGCGATGCGGTGGTTACTGATTTGACGCTGAGGAAGCAGCTGATTTCGACGCTTGAGTCCGTCGTGCCGAACAACATATTTGCTTCGCTGGCTGAAGGCAATCTCTTGTCAATTATCGTATTTGCGGCGGTATTGGGCTCCATCGCAGGCCGAAGCTACTTTTCGAATAGCCGCCGCGTGAATTACCTTTACCTGGTGCTGTTACAGCTGCGCAACACTTTCTTTTTGGCGATGGAGTGGGTCATTTGGATCACGCCTGTCGCGGTCATTTCTATCATCTCTGGGGCTTTTGCGTCCAGCCAGGACGCAGCAAGTGAGCTGCCCAAAGTTTACATGTACCTTGTGGCATGCATTTTGGCGACAGCACTTCAGATCTTGGTCGCGTACCCGCTCGTGATTTTTTCTCTCACGCGGTGCAACCCGTACGTGCACATGCAATACATGATCCGCTCGTATCTCTTCGCTTTCGGATCATCTTCGTCGCTGGCCACTGCTCCAGTGACTCTTGGTTGCCTGCAGAAAGCCCGCGTATGCTCACAGTCGATAGCCACTTTTGTCGTCTCCATAGGCGTCGTTACGAATATGTCGGGCTCGGGATGGTACTTTCCGATTGGTATGATTTTTCTCGCCGAGTCGTCCGGCAATGGCGACGCGCTCAATTTCTTACATCTCGTGGTAATTTTCTTTCTGACACTCGTCGCCTGCACTAGCGCGCCGCCTGTGCCAAATGGAGGAATGGTACTCATGTCTACCATGTACAAGACTGTCTTCGGTGTGAGCATTCTGCCATCCACGTGGCCTCTGTACGTCGCAATGGATATTCTAGCTGACCGTCTGGCAAGTGTTTGCAATGTCAACGACGAGATCATGGCCCTTAAGGTAATTGCCGAGATCACGGATGAAACGGTGGCAGGCGACCACATCAGCCAGCGCAACTAGTTATCATGGATCGGTAGTTGTGGACCATGGGCGATTTTTGACAAATAGTCTGGGCCGACACATCGAGTTTAGTCGATGATGGCAGCTGAAATCGTGACGCACACACTATTACAATGTTGGGCCGGCGCGAAAGTACTTGGGCATATGGCGAGAAGACTTTGTGTGCAAACAACGTCGTGATGCAGGTTGTAATGAAGTACATGCAGCTTGGTCCTAACTATGTTGATGCCTTTGTTGCCTTCTCGACATGAATAGGTTGGTGGAGATGTAGGCAATCGAATCAACCTATTTTCGCGCTGATAACGAAATTAAACATTTACATTTGCATGTCATCGTTTCGGACCAATTTGTTGACCTGTTGACTTTAGTAAGCCACACCCTTTTGGATACTTTTTTTAGCAAAGTACTTGATATATGTAATGGCGCAAGCTACGGTAATTCAATCGGGTAATGTAACTTGCTAGTTTTTGGCATATTGACCGAGCATAGGTATTTTAAAGTACAACTTGCACGTATGTGCTTGCAATCCATGGAAACTTTGCCGACAGCATCTTTAAATACCCACGTCAAATAGACACCAATATACCTCCCATCGGGCATGTATCGCAACAGCAAACGAAAAAGTCACACCGAGAACAAAACGGCACAATTTGATAGCATCGATGGTACCCGTTGCCCATGCGTACGTTGTCTGTTTATGTACTAGGAAAAGGCTAGGTCAGTCAGTGCCATGCAGGTGACATGTCGAGAGAGCAACACAGGCAAGTACCAGTTGCTCTTGATCTGCCAGTAGAATGTGAAACAACTCTTCACATTGTTTTATCTAAAAAAGAGAAAAAACTGTAAAATAAATGCATCAGAATATCGTGAGAGTAAATATTGCCTCATAAGCTAAGAAATATTTATCGCACAAAAAAGTTAAGCACGACTGTGATTATATACATAATAAAGCGCACGTCTGATGTTTCCTATTCGATTGGATACACACATATCTGCGATCATTCGTGTACCTCTACGTGTATCGGCATCGTCACTCTCTTCTTTCATCGATATAAACTCACCCATCTGTATAGTCGTCCGATGTGTTACACAAAGATGTGGCTAAAACAACGAACTGTGTAGTCTGCTATCTCACTGCTACTATCTGCCATCACACTGCACCACAATCAGATAACATCCGTGGTCTCGTAATTCGTGGTCTTGCAATCCGTGATCTTGTGCCCGGCTGAATCAAAATTGCACTTGGGATCACCAGCTTCGTACTTGTCCAATGACTACGATCGTGGCATACGTCATCAGGGGTCGTGCAATCAGCGCACAGTGCACACACGGTTTCCAACACTAACTGTGCTGTGGGTCGCGCGAAGTATTAAAGTCTTTTTCGCCTTGGTCCGTTGAAAAGTAAATAGTTATAATTTCTAATTGAACGCCTGATATACATGCCTCATTTGCTACCGGCTTTCATGAAGGTCATCGCACAAAGCTGTCATTACAGAATTGTCTGCAAGCACAAATTCATTTTTGTAGTACTTTATGAAAGACTTCCGTGCATTTAGAGGAAGTTGGTAATTTATTTGATTCCTTTCTGTAACTTGCAAGTTGCAAATTTGCGAAAACTCGACACTTCACTGCGCAGCAAATTAGTGCACGGACGAGTCTACATGTGGAGTTCCCCCACGTCAACATGACATAAGTTAGTACCGCCCGTGTGGTACAACTCCTTCCCATCGCAGCCTCAGGCCATTGCGTCGAAAGGACGGGGAGATGGACACTGAAGTGAAGACGACGCTGGAGCTACCGCCCGCGCCGCGGTCACCATGGGACTTTGTCTATGTCTTGTCGCCCGTGATCAAGTACTACGTGGCGCTCCTATTGCTGTTCGTAGGCGCCCGTTGGTTTAACCGCCAGTTGGGCAATGACGCGGAGGTGCCGGAGCGTCAGCCGCTCCGACCCGTGTTGTCCCCGGAACTGACAATTGAGAGTTCCGACAGCGACGAGGACGAAGAGGATGGGGGAGAGGACGAGGGAGAGGACGAAGAAGACATCAAAGAGCTGGTGACAAGTGGAAACAGTCTCGTTCCAATGACGCGTCAGAAGAAGAAGAAGCAGCAGCAGCAGCAGCAGCGGAAACAGAAGAACGCGGCCAAAGCGCTCTTTGATGGGCTTCGAAAAGTGGAGCAGGAGCTACAAGACAAAAAGGCGCAGGACGATGAAGCACGCGACAACGTCAGCTGGAACGAGCTGCACATGAAGATGTTGAAACGCTACAAGGACAAGTACCCGGATCACGGGCCTCGCGTGGCCACTGAAACGACCGACAAGTACGACGAGGAGTTTCACGCGTTGCTGCGTGAGAACAATATCGATTTGGACATGCTCACGAGAGAGACTGCACACGGGAGCAAGCAGACACCCGACTGAAAGTAAACGGCACTGAGGACTGAACGGTGTGTGAAATGAAGGCACTCGTAGAAAAGCACATTGAAATCGTGGCAATTAGAACTTGACTCGTTTGGGATTCTGTCCTCTAGAGCTCGTCCGGCACACCTCGCGCTTCTTGGTGTGGCTGTCACTGTCGCCTTCGTCATTTTGCTCCATGCCTCTAATCGGACCCGAGTCAAGAGCGTCGCCTGTCGCTTCTGCTCCATCTTGAGTCCCTCCGTCCTCGTCGTCATCTGTAAACGTGATCTTCGTGTTCGCGAGCTGCTGGCCGCCCTTGTTGCTGGTCGCAGAGATGCGGCCAACAGGACAGTCGCGCACCAAATGGTCGACGCTCTTGCACAATTTGCAGCAGCCGCCTTTCGGGTACACGCCCATGGTGTTCTTCGGGCACTTGCTGCTGAGATGGCCTTGCTGGCCGCACACAAAGCACGTAGCGAAGGCGGCCCCGCCGTTCTCCATAGGCTTCGGACAGTTGCGAAGCGCGTGATCAGGAGCGCCGCAGTTGAAACACACGGCCGCCTGGTGCGGCAGCTGGGCGCTGCTGCCCATGCCATGGCCGTCACTGCTCGTGCCAAAGCTCTTTTGCGGGCAGTTGTGCGCAGTGTGGCCGCGCCGACGGCACTGGAAACACGTCCGATTGAGGTCTCCCGCTGCGCGATTGGGGCAGCTCTGCTTGACGTGCGTCGTGTCGCCACAGAGCCAACAGCCGCCTTCGTTGCCGTGGCCGGCGGCGGTCTGCGCCTCCTCGCGCTTGGCCCGCACCCTGGCCACGATCTCCGCTTTCTTCTCGCGTCGCGCCTGCTGCTTGGCCAGCTTGAGCTGCTTGGCTTTGCTCTTCTTCGCCTTGCGCACAGTGCGCCGCGTCTGCAAGATGCGCTTGCGCTCGTCCGTCAGCTCTGCGTCCGCCATGGCCACTCACTCGATGGGACCTGCGGATGCCAAACCATAGGGCGGCGGGGAGTGCGGGTACACGAAGGGGTACACACGAGGCGAAACGACTCGCTACGAACGGGCACGAAGCGTACCCCATGTACCCCCACGACGCTCCCTGCGAAACGTGATCGATTCGCTAATCAATCAGTCCCTTCTCCGGCTGCAGCCGCCCATGAAGGTCGTGTGTGTGTCCGACACGCACGGACTGCACGAAGAAGCTGCGGCCGTCCCGGACGGGGACGTGTTCGTCCACGCAGGCGACTTCACCGACACGGGCGAGCGGGACGAAGTGCTGGCGTTCAACGAGTACTTGGGGCGGCTGCCGCATCGGTACAAGCTCGTGATCGCTGGGAACCACGAGTCGTCGTTCGATCGCCACTTCTACGCCGGGTACTGGCACCTCTACGGCCACCGACAGCAGTACGATCCGGATGAAGTGCGCGCGCTGCTGACCAATGCGCTGTATCTGGAAGACGAGGCGGTAGAGATTGAGGGTTACGTCTTTTACGGGTACTGACTGGGTATGGCTTTCATTGGTCGTAGTGCGACCACGAGCACCAGCGAGGCGTTGGTGGTGGTATTAATCAACTGTCTGCTGTTTCCTTTTGCGTAGCACGCCATGGCAGCCCGAGTTTTGCAACTGGGCGTTCAACTTACCTCGGGGCGACGCGCTGCTCCGTCGGTGGAAATGCATCCCAACCGACACGGACGTGCTGATCACCCACACGCCTCCTCAAGGCCACGGAGACCGTGTGGGCTGCACAAACGTTGGTTGTGCGGATTTGCTATCGGAAGTAGAGCATCGAGTGCATCCCAAGCTGCACGTGTTTGGACACGTGCACGAAGGCTATGGACAGAGTTCGAGTCCAGACGGCAAAACTACGTACTTTAACGCTTCAGTATGTACTCACAAGTATGAACCGGTAAACGCGCCCTTAGTGTTCGAGTTGACGGATCCACCGAAGCGAGAGGGGCGCCTTAAACGTCTACCGCTACTGATGTCTTCCTCATCTCACACTAGTTGCCAAGCTAATTGCAACGCAAGCAGCCGTGACGACAGCAGCATCAGCAGCACATTGGCGGCAGTAGATGAAATGGTTGACGTGCATGCAGATGCACCGATCGAGGCGGACCCCAAGAAGTACGCCTTGATGCTGCACGAATGGCTACGCCTGTGCTCCCACAAGCCTATGTTCGTTGAAAAGCATGGTGTCCGAGGCACAGTGCGCAAAAGCAGCAGCAAGGAAATGCTGCGGGACTTTCGGGTGGATGGCACGACGTCTGGGCTGCTATTTGAAAGCACGTTAAGGTTACGTCCTGTCATCAATGTGCAGAAACGCGCGCTGAGATACCTCTTCGCGCAAGGGTTCCACGCTAATGCTGACAACTACAAGGAGGAGGTAGACGAGATCTCAGCGATTGCTGTCCCGATTGAGGGCTGCGATGAACAAGACGCGTCGAAGACCGGTTTCGCGGACAGCGAAAAGATCAGGCCAATAAAAGAGCGGCGAAAGCATGGCATTTCTCGCCGTGTAACTGTGGCCGTTTTGGACGATATTGACGAAGAAAAAGAAGGAATGGACGAAGGCGCTCGACAGCACGTGCAGCAGGCTCGTCTAGGAGCTGCCGCACTTGGTAAATCGAATGTTGGAAGTGCTGATGTGCCTATTCGTGGTTCACGACGGAGTAGGGCCCTACAGCGCCGATCAGCAGTATCAAAACTTGCTCCGCTTTCTGAGGATTCGATTGAAGCTGATGGAAGCTGCAGCAGCGCAGTGGGCACAGTGGGCACAGTCGTGCTTGAGGGGCTCGCGAAAGAGGCTCCTACAGTTCCTGAAGCTGCAGTCAATGCAGATTCATGCGTCACGGAGTGTGTTTTGTGCAAGTATAATGTCCACGGCCATATTCATCCGGGGGAGAAGACAAGCGAAAAGACTGAAGCACTGGCCGCGACCCCGCGTGTCGTTGAGTGTGTGATGTGCAAATATAAAGTGTCTGGCCACGTCCATGCAGAGACTCAACCTCTGTCACCGCCCGAGCCATCGCCCCATCCAGCAGTGATGCAACAAGACACAAAGCAGAGTGGGCCGCGCCCCAGAGCTGACAAGCCACCATCTAATCATCTGTCGTCCTGGTTCTGATGCCATTATCGGCACAATGCATGGGTGCTACTGCTGTAGGCTGGTTTGAGCTGGTGGCCATAGTTTCATTGTGCAGGCTGCCTCACTCACACATTGCTCTTTTTGGCCGAGTGTCCGAGTGGAGTTGAGCCAATTTAAGATTGTCGTCAGCCCTGGCTTGAATCGCACGCATTGCAGTACACCAATCGAGCTGCAGAGCTTTGCATGTAATGGACATCTTGATAAAGCAACTACTTTATACCCCGTGTTCAACGCCGAGAAATTTCACGTCACTTTGACAAACGTCGAATGTCGATAATCGTCTTCGACCTTTGTTGCTCTTCACAAAGTGCTCAGGAAGCCAAATAAAAACAAGCGACGGACATTCTGCGTGCTTGGAAGTCAACATCTTATTGTAAAATCACTAGTCGGTCAAAAACAGATTCAGTGAGCATTTTCGATTCGCATTGTGTCGGCCATCCGACACGCAGAATGAAACGAGCAGTCGTTGTACATGACATTGACAACGGTCACTATAAGTGAATAATTTTACCTGACAAGTATATTTGGTGTGTGTAAATGATCCTTAGAACGCTATAACAGTAAATGGATGATGATAGTTCGCACATGAGTTGATCTCGGCCATGATCATAGCCACGATTTCGCTCATCAAGAGCTGACACGCAAGAAGTGGTAAGCAGATAGTGAGAGTACATATCTGTATATAAACACAGTCGACAGAATGACGTAAAACGCGCTGCCGAGTGGACGTTGAAAATAATTAGTTATAAAAAAAATTAGGATAATGGGTCATCCATCGTCCGCGCTGAGTCCCTATCTCATTAGTCATGTTGACCGACCGCAACGTTATGTCTCGACAATGAATTGCTACTACTTCCGCGATACCATTGTTGGCTCCGCAAGAAGTGACTGCTCGTTGGCGCCTCGTGAAGTTGGCTTTGTCGTGAATATGAACTGCGGCAATAGCTGTGCCCCATCAGGACGATGTCTACTGATCGGAAGACTTTTGCGCTTATCACGACTAGGTTGTATTCATCGCTGCACAAGTCCACCCTTCGATAAAGGAGGAGGTCGCTGGAGATGAGACGCATGAAGGGTCCCCTGTTGGCACCTGCAGAGGTGCTTACCGGATGCTGTCGATTCGGTATCCGAGCTTCAGAGGCAACTATACTAGTTGGTCTGCCTAACAAACAATAATGCTGTGCGAGTGACCGTTTCATTATAAATTTCTGTTGCGATGCGGCCGCGTCAGGGGCCGTCCGAGATCCAGCCTCGCTGCAACAGCTGTAGTCGGCGTAAAGTGTCCAGAATGGGTCGACTTGACGCGTAGATAAGTTCTTCTCCGCATCGGTATCTCGCAAATCTTCTTTCGATTATTCTTCGCCTATGGCTCATCGAGGCCATAAATCCATTCGAAAAGTCGATTTAGCTCTGAACACTTGGTCGTGCAAGACATCGCTCGACCTCGCTCTCTCTACACTGATGATGAATCTAGTGACGCTTCTTTAGCTCAACGGTGACCAGCTTTATGCCATTTTCTATTCGGCCGTTACTCCATTACACTTCCCACCGACTAAAGCTTCTACATCGAGGCATTCATTTATGTAGTGCGATCGTATTCTGACCATGGCAACTGAAATGCTTCTCGAGTGATAGTGTTTCTGCGTTCTACGTTTCCAAATATATTACTGAATGTAGCCGTTTCTCTTCCCTTGCTTAGCTGCCAGCATCGCGTCACGCCCGTATATAATTTACTCAAAGAGTGTATCCTTATTCTTTTATCGACAGATACTTGTCTAAAAGATTGTAATTTGTTTACATGTCCACCTCCATGGCTATGCTTCTCTTGTTGAGCGCGCAACTGCAGCCCTACTCAGTACCGCGGAGTATAGAAACCGATCTTATCTATGTTTCTACAATTTGGATGCACAAACTCAAGAATAAGAAGTATTACGTGTCGGCGTGTTATTGTTCTCTTACAATACACCCTTCCTTTGTTCCTAGACAGAATATATGTAGCCATCATCGCATTTGCTGCTCGCAACATTTCTCGTTGCGAACCTGCCTGATCGCAAATTCTTACGTTTCTTACAATCCTGCAGCCTCACGCCACACAGGGGTGACCTCTACAAGACTGAAAGGCCCGTAACAATAGCATGCTGAAGCGATGACTTTTCCTTAGGCTTATTGAATGTCACTAGAAAAGTTTGGTTAGTATGCTGACCCAGGTTGTGCCCACTCGGGGCTGGCGTAAGTTTATAGCGACGAAAGTCACTACCTGCATAAGGTATGTCTCACGAAGTTTAATGGCTTACCTAATCCAGCCCTTACAATGAATTACCTGAAGAGAACACACAATCGTTATGTATTAAAATCCGATTAGTATTGTTATCTCGTCATTTGGTAGTTGGGACCAAGAGTGTGGCTTCGCTCTCTTCCTTTTCTCCCACGCTTATTTCAACGAGATAAAAGCCGATAGGTTAACACTCTTGATGCATAAATGTGCTTTTTTCGATCTTGATTGATACCGGTTCGTATTTCAGGTCAGTCCGGGTCGCATCGACCTGCTCTGCATCTCTCGATTGATTTTTTCTGGGCTCTCATCGCTTTATAAACCCCCATCGAGCGACTTCATTTTTACGTCAATACTTACAATGCTCTTTAAATAAGGTCCATTTTTGATGGGATCAATTTAATTTTATTATTTTTGGCCGATACTTAACTCGATATATGTATTTCGCTAACATCATTTTTAGGTCAACACTTAGCACCACGACCTGATGTAAACGTCCCGTAATAAGTTCAAGTTGTGCAGTAGGCACGAACGTGTGCCCAATTACCACAAAAGTGACAGCGAATGACATGAAGTGACCACAGTTATAAATAATGGGCAAATGTATTATCTATTACAGTAGAACCCCTTTAGCTCATACAATTGAAAGGATTAAAAATATTAGGTAGATTAGAATAGTAGGTTGGAAGGTTGGGTTGTCTCATCATCTACACACAATTGTACAGTATAAAGCGGTGCATGGTTGCCACGTTGGGCCGAAAATTTGTCATTTTTACAAAGAGATATTAGCTGATAAGGGATTAGCTAAGAGGGGTTCCACTGCAGTTGTAAACTGTTCATATCAAGGATCACATGTACGTCAACATATGCCGGTGGCTTACAAAAATGGATGCTTTAACTTCTTCTGCAAGGTCATGTTCATCATCCTCTCACTTAAGTAGTAAATTGTAAATTCTGTATCGATGGAGCGTTTCTCAGCCTTTAGTGAAAAAGCAAAAAATGTCGATAACTGTGTTTGACTCAGGTTTCCAAGATTGGTGATCAAGATACCTAATCGACGTGAAACAAGTTCCTCCATCCATACGTTGACCGGAGCAATGTGGAAGTACAATCTATTTTCGTGGTACATCAAGTCGGAGCGCCTCGAGATCTTTGAGGTACTGACCACTCAGACATCATGCGTAGAAAGTTTAGTCGGTTGCGCTGGCGGATGTAGATGCGTATTGCCGACACGTTCTATCCCACCCTCAAAATGAGACCATGACGCGTACATTCAGTATATGATAGGTATCGATACATTTGAGGCAAATGTGGTGTTGCTACAGAAGAAGAGTTTTCATGAGATCATTTCCGTTGTATAATAATAAAAACTCATGTTTCATGTTTAGTTTAAGACACCTTCGTATGCAGTTGACTTGGCATAACAATTTGCATCGAAATTATAAGTAGTTTGAGTATGTACAGTGGGGTATGTCAGTGTATGATTCGTAGTGAGTGTGCACGGAGATCTTTGGAGATTCCACTGTTGTGTAGAGCATTGGCAAGCATTTCAATCCGATCAGTCGTGCTCGCATTATCCTCTTCTACAATATTCGCGTCAAACCCATTCAGCCCATTACGGATCTAGTACTTCTACATAATTTTAGCATGAATGCAACTTTCTTCGTTTACATATTGCTTCATAAAAAGAGCTGTGGTATATTATACCGTGCTAAGTAAATTGCGCTTTTGGTGAGTTGCGATTTATGCTTGATTCGATAGAATCAATTTGAAAGGCTTTTACCTTTTCCAGTAATGGATACATCTATCTCCTCGAGTATAAATATTTCACTTGGACTTAATTTCGAAATCAGTACGACAGCAATAATCGTACGCGCGCTAGTTTATCGTGATGCCACAACTAAAAGTATGGTCCCCAACATACAATGAACTGGACGCTAAGCTGTGATGCAACCTCTTCAATATTCGTGAAACTTGTGACAAGCAAACGACATCAGTTGCTGAATTTATTTTTTTCATGAGCGACAACTGACATGTTGTGCCTCGTTCGAACGGATTACCCTAACGCGTATGAACAATTTTGACCGTGCGCTTAAGAAGTATGTTCGAATCTATTTATTCTGTTGATGGATCTCATTTCTATGTAAATTTATATTTGCATTAATGTTTTTCACTTTTTACGAGCGAGTCGATATCTCGCACTGTCGGAAAATGCCTTGTAATTATTTCGGCTCGCATCGATCGGCGAAAGAAGGCATTCCTTATGTCACACAGCATAGAGGCTGTCAGATGTTTTCTAATGCGAGTATATACAACGTCGATTAGCCTAGTTTGTGCACGTCCTCTTACGATGTGATGGTTTTGTAAGCACTCGTTAAGTAAGTGTTGACACTTAAGAGTTCAAGAGCGGAAATATGTGTGTAGTTACATCCATATTCGACAGTTTGGTCGATTATGTAAGCGAAGAATAACATCGTAATTAATTGAGACAATTTCAGTACGAGGGTATCGACACCGAGTGCGGTAGCTGGCCTTACGTGAAGTATAGTGTGCATTGGTACCGCAGACACCGGTCAATTGACGACTGATCTGGGCTGTAGCTGTTTATTGTTTTCATAATATATTGCGTTGTTAAGTGACAAGATATCGTTATATATCTAGGAGCTCTACTTAGTTCATAAAGACATTATATTATCTAAACAATCAG